AGCGTAGTCGGTAGTCCTGTTGATTGCAATTATAATGATTGATCGGTAGACTTATACAAAAATGTAAGAAGAAAATGAAGTTAATAACGTATTGTACCGGTTGTATCGGTTTTGATATTTGATCGAAAGATACAATGTCAATTTTTGTTTTGGTCAGATTTTGAGTGTTTTGGTCAAAATCCGGTCTATTGATCGAAATGCTGGTACACTGAAATTTCGGCCGGTACACACTGCAAATTAAAAAAAAAAAGGGATTCCTCTAGCCCAAAACTACGTCGTTTTGGGCTAAGGGCTTTTCATAACCTGCAACTGTGTGTCCGTATAACTCCATTCAAATTTAAAAGGGTAAATTTCATTTTTGATCCTCAACTTTAATGTTATTATAATTTTTATCCTGTAACTTTTTAATGTACTTTTTTAGTCCATTTTTCTTTTTTTTTTTTTTGTCTTTTTATCAATTATTTTGTTAAATTTATCTAAATATACACATTTTTAGTCCCTTAATTTAAAGTGGATGGATGAAAAATATACATATATTAAAATTTGAGAGATTAAAAATGATCATTTTAAACTTATTTTTAATTTATAAGAATATCATAGTTTTAAATATTAGTATTTTTTATCTTATTTTAAAATTTGATATTTAATTTATAAAAGGCAAAAATATGACATAAGGACCCGAACTTACACCAAATTCGCAATTTCAGACCCAAACTTCGATTGCGCTCAATGAAGGTCCTAAACTCCACGAAATTCTCAAATAAGTTCCCAATTAGACGGAAAACTAACTTTCGTCAAATCTCCTATTAGTCTGTTAATGTTCCGTCACATTTCACGCTTGTCACTTGAAAAAAATTGGTTAAATGCTAATTTTGGTCCCTCAACTTCATTGAGTTTCACTTTTTTGTCCCTCAACTTCATTAAATTTAACTTTTTTATCCCTCAACTTTATTGAATTGTACTTTTTTGGTTCATAAACTATTTTTTGTATTTTTTTGGTCCTTAAATTATTTTTTACACTTTTTTAATCCCTTAACTTTAATAACTGCATAATTTTGATACTTTCATCAGTTTAAGCCATTAACTCCGTCCACTTGGTATTTTTTATATTTTTTTGATGATGCATATAATCTAATTGGAAAAAAAATCATAATATAGATCAATAAAATAACATGTAGATAAATTTTTATATTTTTTATAAAAAAATTATAAAAACCTCTCTACCTATTTTCTTCCCCCTCTTTCTTTCTCTTTCTTCTAGCAGGGGAAGAAAATAGGTGGAGAGGTTTTTTTATTTTTATTAAAAATATAAAAATTTATTTACATATTATTTTATTTATCCATGTTATCATTATTTTTAGTTAGATGATCTATGTTATTATTTTTTTCTAGTTAGATTATACATGTCACCAAAAAAATATAAAAAATGCTACATAAATGAAGTTAACGGTTTAAATTGACGAAAATATCAAAATTGTGCAGTTGTTAAAGTTAAAAGATAAAAAAAGTGCAAAAAATAGTTTAAGGATCAAAAAAGTGCAAAAAATAGTTTAAAGACCAAAAAAGTATAACTTAATAAAGTTGAAGGATAAGAAAGTGCAATTTAAT